CAAACATGAAAATACTCGATGCAAACTTAATATCTGAAGAATGCCTCAAAACTGGTTGCCACAGCCACCCTAATTTGAAAATAATAAATGAGATATTTCGGCGTATCGACAATTTCACCTACTTAGAAAGTCCCTTCTGATACGTCGCTGACCACAAAAATTTGGATACAACTATAGAAAAATCGTCTGTTTTCTACTAATGTCTTACGAAGCAAACGAGACTTACAAATGGTCATTAAAAGAAAAAAGTAGCGCGTAGCAGTAGACTGAACAAGATACAGCACCAACTTAGGAAAGACGTTACTGTCATTGAACCAGGTGACCAAGGAGAAACATCCGAACTGGAATTATTGAGAAGTTTGAAATCAAAGATTGGAGATCTGTTGATCTTTGAGTGCTGTCTGAAGGTATGGAACTAATGCATTAATTGAATAATACAGTTTAACCAAATACTTATTTCCAGCGATTCCTTATCAGGCTTTAAAATTACATCTACAAAATATTTATCATAGACTTTGATACTATTAGACTAAATGGGATTCGATATTCTCTGTATTCAGTCAAAATATTTTGAGCCTGAAATGATAGGCTAAGGTTGATTACCTGCCAGAGAATGATAAGTGAAGAAAAGTGCAATATTCACCAGACGAGTAGTTTAGCGAGACAATTACCATAATGCATATTTCCAACCAATTCTGGGAGGTATGTCCACAAATTCTCAGTGGTGAATAAACCTAAGATGACTGGATCGTTCAACATTCCTGAAACCTACCACTGAGTCCAATTTTATTATCATTATTTATTATTTGTCCTTCGGGTTCCTAGTGGAACATAAGGCTTCAGTAGTACGTTGCTATTTCACTCTCTTCTCTGTAGTCTTTTTAACCTGGCTCCACGATTGACCATAAGTTTTCATTTCTTCCTCACACGATCTCCTCCATGTCACCCTTGGACTCCCAACTCGTCGTTTCCCATTTGGGTTCCACTCGAAGTCCCCAAACGGTGTATGTCCAATCCATCTCCTCCTTCTTCCTTCTGTTTATTTGTTGCGTCCGATCTTAAGCATGTCCAATTCATCATATCATAGAATAGGATGCTAAGGGGCTGAAGTCCATCACGACGCAAAATGACTACGTTGAAGCACATGTCTGAGCTTAGTGATTGAAATGAAATGTAGGAAAATAATAAAAGCATGGTTTTTATGGGCACTAATTAATTATTTAACCACCCACTTCTGATAAGCGAAGCAATAAATTCTCCATTAGAGCCACCATTCAGTTGGCACGTTTATGAGGAAACTAGGAAACAGACCACTATAAACGAATTGTCCCATCGCGCACGCAGACAACTTATACTAGACTTTCTGCGCGATGAAGACAACAATCTAGCCATAGAACCAACTAAAGTCTAAGTGTCGCATCATTGTCAAAGGACGCCATCATTGTGCCCATCTTTTAAAAGACCCTACGTAATGTATGCAACAGTCATCGGCCCATTAGTCTGTTATCAGTAAGGTCAGAAATAGAGGCTGTTGTCATACTTCGCAGGGTTTTTAAAACGACACTAAAAATGATTCCTAGGAAGGAGGCTACAGTTTATTCATAATGTGGATGCATTGATCACTTTCTCACCTTCCGATAGATGCCTAAACATCGTTACACATATTGTAGATCAATAATCATTACGTTTTTCCACATTAAGATATCTTCGATTCGTTGGACAGGACTGCGATCTGGAATTATTCTAAAGGCAAGGAAAGGCAGAGAAGTTTACTAGCATTTTCGACGCTCGACATAAAAACACCTCAGGAAAAGTGAGAGCAAGTCATTACCATTTTCAGTTGTTCCAAACCAAAGGTGCATTTAATTAAGGTTGTCTGATTTCACCATTTTTCAGTAACTTCGCCGTTGGTGATATTCTGGAAACAATTCTTAAGGAAGTGCGTGGTTGTGCAGTAGATTTGATACCAAGTGAAACACCGAATTGAAGTATGCGGAAGTTGACATCTTATCGCGAAATAACATATAATCTACTCAAATAACACCTAATCAGTTGACAACTAGTGTTCGTAAGTATATGTGCTTTTCATCAACAAGGTGCTTTTGCCAGACTGGTAGAAATCTGCATCTGCACTTAACCTTGGCATTAAACCATTGAAAGTAGTCAAAAAGCTTGTATATCTGAGTATTTATGTGAGTGCTGGTGGAGGTATGACTGATGAGATTGACAACTGTATGTCAAAAGCCAAAGCAGTGTATACCAATGAGTCACTTTTGGTACAGTTATGACGTAAACCAGTCAGGTGGATAATGCGTCCGTCAGCATAGTTAAGTTCCACGCCTGTGAAACCTAACCCATGCAAGCTAAGGATATTCGATGACTCTGTCTGTTTAGATGCTGCTAACTCCGAGAGATTACTAGTATCCATTGAATACAGTACGTAAGCAGCTCCGAATCCCAGTAACGTGTACTTGAATATGAAGGACACCATCAATAATGGGGTGATTTTACCTCGGAACCCCAACTTCGATGTCTTGGATACGGGCTATGATTGTTATCCCAGAGACTTCCATACTGTTCATTGTTTGCTAGCTCTAAAACTACTTGGGAAGAGGAAAGATGCGATTAGCATAAAATATGATGCAGCGGAATGGAAAGTAAGTGCATTAGGTTGACACTAGTCAGTGCATCAAGACTTTCTGAGCAGGGTATGTAAAATCACGCAACTCAGTCCCTTGAAATAATATCACATATGGCTGAGAACCAGGGACCAATGATGGTCTTGCTGTAGCTTTTTAATGTCCTCTGTTCGCGAAAAGTAAAATAGATAAAATGAAAGCTTTTTGACCGATTGTCTTTTTTCTATTTTCCTTCAGTTTTGGTTTCAGAAGGTTGTTTGACTACACTATGTACGGTATATTCCTTGCTGTCCATGTTATAGTAAGTGTTAGAAATAAAGAATAAACAAATGCTTGTACTAATATCGCTGATATCATTGCCATATTAAACCTTAGAACTCCTATTTTGCCCTTAGTTCCACAATTAATTACGAATAAAAAGATTTTACTACCCAAATGCTACGCTACAATAATTTCTTCCTATTTACCCCTAACATAAATAAACAATTCCACACACTTATAATGACTGATTTTGCCAATGTCATTATCATCTTTGTTATTATCATCCTCTGACTGGCTTACTTAAACTCCAATTCTATTAAAGACAATACAATCAAGCGATCGTATTGCGTAATTTGTATGTGCAATCATAATGTGTGATAGGAAACAACTGAGAACTGCACAACAGATAAGCTGTTTCCTGACTATCACAGTTTGGTGTTTCCCAATCGTGTCTAACTCTGACTTAGTTATCAGTCCAAACGAATACGCTTCTTATTCAAATGCATAATGACTGTATATATCAGATCATTGCCTAGTGTAACCCTTGAAATATTGGCTGAGTGGGTTTAATCCATGGTATTTCGTAATTTAGGTGTAATGAAATATTTTGCTGGAGATTCCGGTAATAAAAACAAATAACAAAGTCTGGTTAGAAAGCTCAGCATATGCGAAGAAAAAAACTTCCTGATAAAAGAGGAATCAACATGACTAGGTTTTTGAGGTCCTATAATTTATAATCACCCAGAACCTAAAGAGAACTCAGAAAAACAAAACCAAAAGAATCGGGAAGCTTTTTAAAGCTTTTATAAACCTTTCAGTTCATACAGATTAGCACGAGTAAGACGTGCCACCCACATGTCTCATGGCAGTCACGGCAAGAAAGAGGTACAAGTTCACGAAGAATGTAACCACAGAGATAGACGCCGTAATGAACTGCATGCTTTCGGATACAGTTTATGAAATAACCAAAACCTATAATTGGATTTTAAACGATATGGTTCATAATCGATAGCAGTAAAGCAGATATATCGTTACTTCATGACTTCTAAATCATAGACATCTTAATGTTGTGTACATTTCACTTCATCTTATCTTCTCTCCTTCTCCAGCATTTAACTGTTATCAACAGTATTATTTAGAATCTTGTTTGTCGCTCTTAACCGTAGGTTTCATCACGGACTGACATCAGTTGTAGAACCACTGAAAACCTGGAAGCATTGAATGGCTGTTTCATTTTAGTTGAAAACGCCTGAGCAACGCCCACCCACAATGTTATAAGGAGTGGAACTAAGGGTTGTTAGGCTTTACAGGGAGTGCGTTACTCTTCAGGGTCGTGGATGAGCACTACTTAGAAAGTCCCAAATTAGGATTAAAAGTCATCATGTGCCACCGGTTTTTCAATGGTTTTCCAACTGATTTTGATTCATCATAAAAACTACTTTAAGGGTAATAAATCCCTAGGAACCTCCAATGAATTAGATAACAAAAGTAGAAACCTGAGCCAGTACACAACCCTACCAGGTCCAACTTTGTCAATAACTCGATGAGTCTGGAGAAACAAATTCTACGTAGCGAGAGAGTGCGTAAACTAATCTAGCAAACCCTTTACGTCATAAATATTTACTTGTGTCAAACTTCTGAAAATGTATCTTTCAGCAGGAGAGTGTCCCTCTCCTGAAAATCTTTTATGCAAATACTCATTGAAAGGAAACATAGGGTGGAAATGAATGTAAGTCGATAAACTACCAGATATGATTTACAAAAACGAAATCCAAAAATTAACAATGAAGTTAGTACTGAGGATGTCACCAAGCCTGGTGATGAAATGTCCATGATAAAATATCAAAGCTTCAGAGAACACCGAACCACCGTCACCCTTATTTTGCGCTACAAATCTTTTCCATCATAACAATGTTGAATCGATCTCGTATAATATAGCCAAATTTAGAAACAAAAACACTGACAGGTTACAGCATTCATCCAAAACACTGGTACATAATTGGAAGAGAAGGAATAATACTTTACAAATAAAACCACAACTCAAATTTGACTAACCAAGCTTAGAATTTATGCCGCCAAAAAACAATTTGAAAAACTCACCTCAATAGATCGCATCTGGTCCTCCTGATTTAAAATTCTTCCCAACTCTTGAATTTCACCCTCCTGGGACGCAGATACTTGTGCCTGAACAAGCTTGCTTTCATCATTTTCATCCGGATTTAGAGTAATCAAATCTCCGACAAGCGAAGCTGGGCGACTTTCAGTAAGTAGTCGTCTTTTTATTTCCTAAACAGAAAAACCATGGTAGTCTGGAACTGTGAAATACAAATGGTATCAAAGTAAAAGTTTAAAAGCACTGTTCTTTAAAATAATATCAGCTTAAATCGTCACCGTCAGAAATATTATTTGTAGTAGTCAGGACAAGTTTTTACCTTTGGACCAATTTAATAGTGGTGGTTACGCAATATTATTCGTATTTTTAATAGAAGCTATCCAAGACAATCTACCTTATGTCGAACTCTAAATTAACAAACGTTTGATTACGAAGTACGCACAAGGCAGTACAGACAGTTAATATCAGTGAAATAAAAATCTTCATTCAACTACCCACTCCAGCGCAACACACGACAATAAAAGGTGCCCGGCAAAATTCACTAAAAGATACGCTGTATTAGAAAATTATATTGAAAACAACGTGAGCGCATTCTGTGCACTTTGTCACATGTGAAAATGTCGTTAATTCCTTGTATGTAACAACAACAGTGCAGCATAAGGATAAAATCTAGGCACTGTGATGTGGTATAGCTCAATGATTGTTTGCTAGATATCACACGATGAGAAATTCGTTCTCTCAACAACGTTTAAATGGATTTCATCATCATCATCATTATCAACATAGGACCAGGCATTACTGCGTAACGGTCCGAGTTGCCACACCTCATATCAGCACATCAAGTAAAAAGGTAGTGAGGTGAAGGATGAAGATAAGTGAATGCAGTCAAAAGAAATATAAAGTATGAGAAGAAAGGAAAGAGGAGTGACAAAATAGTGAGATTCGGTATAGCGTTGTTAAGATGAGGATAATGTGTGTATACATCTGCGCCACTGACTTCGGTTCTGAGCCATATCACCTAGGGTCTCCAACCACTGGTTCCTCTTGTCCCGTGGACCCCAACCACCTAGTCTGCATCGTCCTACATGGCTTAAACCAACAGTCAGAGACTTCATACATTGGTGCCATGTTTTAGTCTGGCCACCTCGGGCCTTTTTCCAGCCTGAACCCACCTCAGCCAACATTGTGTGACGAGGCAATCGGTGACTAGGCATACGTAGTACGTGTCCCAACCATCTCAGTCGATGAAGGTTCACAACCTCGTCGACTGACTTACCTCTTCTCCCTAAAACTCTACACCTAACTTCTGCATTACTCACATGGTGACACCACGGAATACGTCCTATACTACGAAGGCAACGGTGGTCAAATACCTGTAACCTTCTCATGTCTTCCACTTTCAATGGCCATGTTTCACAGCCATACAGTAGAACAGAGCGGACTGCTGTGCAGTACACGCGACCCTTAATAGACAAACGAATATCACGGCGGCGCCATAGGTGGCGCAAATTGGCAAAAGCCAATCGAGCCTTTTGTATCCGTGCAGAAATCTCATCGGCAACTAACCCACCGGAGTTGATCCTACTTCCCAGGTAAGTGAAGTGGTCAACACACTCAACCACTTCACTCTCTATTGTTAACCGCGGTACCGCTGAAGACCAGTCCTGGAGCAAAAATTTGCATTTGGGTGGTGAAAATCGCATCCCAAACATTCTCAAATTCCCACTCAAAGTGTTCAGAAGACTCTGCATCTTGTCAGCGTCTTCACCTAACAGGACTATGTCATCTGCATATTCTAGATCTAAGGAAAATTCACCTGTGATCCGGTCAACGTCTTTGTAATTAGGTGACGAGAGGGAAACCTCCATAAGAATATCTATGATAAAATTAAATAAGAATGGGGATAGTGGGCATCCTTGACGGACACCACTTGATGAGTATAGCTCCCTGGACAACTCACCATAGGCTCTAACATGCCCACAAGTGTTCGAGTAGAGAGCTTTCAATAAGGTGATGTACTTACTAGGCACGCCTTTCAGTGACAGACACTGCCATAAGACTTCTCGATCAACGGAGTCAAATGCCGCCTTCAGGTCGAGAAATACAGCTATTGTCGGGCGTCTGTAAGCATGCCTATGTTCCAGGACCTGGCGCAGTGTGAATATTTGGTCGATACATCCACGGCCAGGTCTAAAGCCTGCCTGGTTTTCTCGGGCTTGCTGTTCCCGAGCTCCACTCAGGCGTCGGAGAATTATAGAACTTAGGATCTTAGACACTATGTTTGTCAGGCTGATTCCTCTGTGGTTATCACAAGAGGACTTCTCGCCTTTCTTGAAGACTGGGATGATCAGTGACTTAGACCAGTCGGAGGGGATCGTATTTGATTCCCATATACTGGCTAACACTTCCGTTAGCCTGACTAAGAGAACTCTACCACCATTCTTGTATACCTCAGCAGGTAGTCCGTCTGGTCCTGCTGCCCTTCCCCGTTTCAGGCTACCTACCGCTTTCTCAACTTCTTCTAGTGTTGGGGGACCTGTCTCTATGTCCCATTCAGGGTCCGACTGGATAGCGGGCAGCGCAATGGTGGCTGGAGGCCAGTTAAACTGTTCCTCAAAGTGTTCTGCCCATCGTCCCAGTCGCCTTCCCTGCGAGTGAATCGCCGATCCGTCCTTCTCCGCTATAACCTCACTAACTGTTGTTGACCATTTCCCCCCAGTCTCCTTAATAAGTCTAAATAACTGTCTACTGTTACCGATCGCCGCTGCCTTTTCCATCTCTTTAGCCTTTGCTGCCCACCACTGTTCACGATCGTTGCGCAGACTTTTCGTCAGTTTATTTTTAAGTTGCGCTCGCTCTTCATTGTACTCAGAGCCTGCAGGGATGCATTCACGTGCATCCATTAGTTTGGAAGAAGCTGCTGATATCCACTGGCTCTTTTTAGCCATTATCTTGGAGTCGGCTACAGTCTCCAGTGCTGCTTTTACAGTAGACTGAAGATGGCACCAAGCTTCTTCTGGATGAGTGACAGTCTTTTGTTCCGATAACTGCCTAGCCAACTTCTCACTGAACACGGCTTTGGTGTTTTCGTTGTCCAGCAGAACTCGTAGTGGTTTTGTTGCCAAATTTTTTCTACGTCCATTGAGACGCAGGCATATACGTGCTCGGACCAACGCATGATCGCTGTCCAAACACGTACTCCAGAAGGAGCGGCAGTCTTCCACCGATCCTCTCCAGCGATGACTAATAGCAATGTGGTCTATCTGTGTCCATCGCTGAGTCGAGCTCGGTGGACGCCAGGTCAGACAGTGCCTTTCTTTATGTCTGAAATTTGTGCTGGCTAAAAATAGGCGGTTATCTGAGCATAGTTGTAATAGGCGATCACCGTTATCTGTACGTTCAGCTGGGATTCCGAAAGTGCCACCTAAGTGCCTTTCTGCCTCACTCAGTCTACCCACCTGTGCGTTGAGGTCACCTGCAACAACCACTACGTCCGAACGTTTGGCTTTCGAGAGGAGGTTAGACAGTTTATGGTAGAACTCGTCCTTCACTTCATCCGAACTACAGTCAGTGGGTGCGTAAGCAGAGATTACAAAGAGACAACGGCGAGTCTCACTATTCCTTTTAGTTCTCACTGTGCCGTTCAGCCTCATAGCGCAGAGGCGACTATCAACTGGGATCCAGTCTAGTAGTGAGTTTTCTGCCCTGGTGCTTAATGCTATACCTACACCTGCAAGACCACGAGAGCTAGCTATCGAATCTCCAGAAACTCGAAGGGTGAATTTTGCAGATTCACCAGATTGGTCAGGAGAGGTCAGGTGAATAACCACACTTGGGTCCTGTATGCGTGTCTCACAAACACAGCACACATCCATGCCCGAGTTGCTAGAGTCTTTGCCAACGAAGCCTGTTGGCCAATTTGACGGAGGGTGCGGACATTGAAGGCTCCAATATGTAATTTGGAGCGTGGTTTAAGGAGACCAGGGACACTGTTCTGTGGACTCAGATCGTTGTCGAAGGCTGCAGAGGTAGGAGAAATTGAAGATGATGCAGCATCATTAATTAAGAGACGTGAAGGAAGATTAGAAGGTAATGATGGAGGAGGAGGATAGCAGTCAGAAGAAACTTGGGTGCTGACAGAGTTGTGAGGGCGGTTGACACTTCCCGGCTGCCCACACCGTGGAAGGCTATTTCTTCTTAAGGTACCTGAAAGAGATTTGTGTGACCGCAGAGCCCATCGGACATCTGCTTGAGGCCTGTCACACCCAGCCTTTTGAGTATGATTATTTTGAATTTTTGTATTTTTGGGGCCGGATGGTCGAAAGGAAACGACAAGTGAACCAACACCGCCGGCCCGGCAGACCGTGGGGCGTGGTGGAGTGTGTTATTTTTGGGGCCGACCTTTTCTAACCCCCCCTTCCACTGAGAAGGCAGCATCAGCTTGGCACTGCTGGTCATCCAAGGGAAACACCTTACTGCTGTCACACCCCATCCAGCTAGCAGCAGTACGACTTCGCCCTCAGACCCCCATCATAGTATAGCAATTTACACTATGACGGTAACTGCTTTTCGTCTAACCACTACCCAACAGACCTTTCTGGTATGGTAGGACCTCGAGGGAACAAGCGTTCCACCAGCATAGCTCGTTGGGTCATTGTGATATGCAAGCCCGACCACCACGTCAAGGTAGCAGCTATCGGTCGGGAAATGGATTTGAAAGTCAAGCAATTACCTTTATGGTGTCGCTATAATTTGAAATTTTAGTCTATAGGGAAAAAACGCAAGTCCTCTTGTGATAACAATTTTAAGTTCTTTCAAGGTAAACAGACGGAAATTAACGAAATCCAGATTGCTTTGAGGCAAGCACTTTCACCTATCTTTTAAGGATTTAACTATAGCAACCATATTCTCAAAGCACCTGAATAAATGATAGGATGTCGTTCTCAAGGTGTTCTTCATGAACACTGTAAGCGATGAACATAGAGAAATAGACAGCAGTCCAACTATATCTTTAACTGTTATGCCAACTACTACCGAAAAGATTTAATCGCAATGGTTTCTGTTTATTCGAATGATGAAAGCGGATCACTAAAAATATGGCCGCGTTATGTACGGTTAGACTATTGCAGTACATGAAAGTAAAACACAGAGTTGTAGGAAACCGTAGCGGTTT